TGATTTCATTTCCTTTAGATATATACCCAGAAGTGGAATTGCTGGATCATATAGGAGTTCTATTTTCAGTTTCTTGAGATAGACCTATACTGTTTTTTGTGGTCGTTGCACCAATTTACATTCCCACCAACAGTGCACAAGCGTTCCTTTTTTCTCCACCTCCTCACCAACATTTGTTATCTCTTATCTTTTTGATAATAGCCATTCTAACAGGTGTGAGCCAATATCTTATTATGGTTTTGATTTGCATTTCCCTATGATTAGTGATGATGAGCACTTTTTCATGTACTTTCCTGGCCATTTGTATATCTTCTTTGGAAAAATGCCTGTTCAGTTCCTCTGTCCATTTTTAAATTGGATTGTTTTTTTGTTATTGAGTTGTACGAGTTCTTTATATATTTTGGATACTAACCTCTTATGGTTTGCAAATATCTTCTCCCATTCAGTAGGTTACCTTTTCATTTTGTTGATGGTTTCCTTTGCTGTGCAAATGGGATTACTTACTAAAAGTGGGGATTCCTGGGGTCCCGCTCAAACCTCCTGATTTGGAACCTCTGGAGGTGGGCCTTGGCATTCTTTATTTTCAACCTTTGCCTCAGGTGGCCTGAGGTACCATGAGCTGCCTAAGGACACACAGCTAATGGTGTCAGATCCAAGACTAGAACCAGAGTCTTGTGACTCCATCAAGGGCATTTTCTCTTACAGCTTGAATGTCCCTAGGGCTTAAAGCTTTGGGAAACAAGGCTCATACTGGATGCAGGAGAGTGTGTTGAGTGGATCTCTTATCCAACAGACCACTAACCCACCTAATTTAATTAGTTCCTTATAAGGCGGGGCTCAAGGGCTTGATTTCCTAGAGCAGGCAGAGACCGTTGAAACAGACCACTTGCTCTGGGATGTTATTTGGAACTTTTGGATTTTGAGGTCTCTAACCAAGAGAACCCCAGGTCACCTCTTCCTCGTGGCCTGGGTTTCATGGCTGTACCACTCTACCCTAGATCCCTATGTCCCTGGGGTCTGTTCTCACACTTTGCTTCCAGGTATAGCTTATCACTTCATTATTCTGTGTTAATCTATTTGGAAAAGGACTGGGAAAGTCCCAGAGTTATTGGTAGTGGTCTACAAAGCCCTACTTGCTAACTGAATAAATAAAGATTCACTCTGATATGCACCATTGCTTCCCTTTGCTTCCAAGGGAGTAGCTTCTGGTAGATGAATAATCATGCGTTCTCTTCAGGAGACAGGAGCTCATGGATTTGGGGGGCTTAAAAAGGACTGTTGCCTGAAGAAGTTGTGGCCAACGAGGCTGTGGGGTGACTGGGAATGGGGGGACCTGGACTCCAGGCCCTGCTCCTCTACCTCCTCTCTGCCTTGCCCCTCTGGGCCTGTTTCTTTATGCTTAAAAACAAAACATCAAGGAATGTTCCACTGATATATGCAACAATGGGCATTGTGCTAAGTGAGAGGAGCTAGACTCAAAAGGCCACATACTGTATGATTCCCATTATGTGGTTTTCTGAAAAAGGCAGAACTATGGGGTTAGAAAACAGATTCATGGTTGCCAGGAGCAGGTGAGTGAGGAGAGGGGATTAACTATAAAGAGCCACAAGGGAACTTTTGGGGGTGATAGAATTACTCTCTATCCTGACTTTTGATGGTGGTTAGTTACATCACTGTGTAAGTTGGTCAAAATTTATAATGCTGTATCTAAAAAGAGTGAATTTCACTGTAGGTAAATTATACTTCAATAAACACAAAAATGCAGGGCACCTGGGTGGCTCAGTCGGTTAAGCGTCTGCCTTTGGCTCAGGTGACCCTGGGATCAAGCCCCGCACTGGGCTTCCTGCTCAGTGGAGAGTCTGCTCCTTCTCCCTCTGTTCCTTCCCCGCTCCCCACTTGCACTCTCCCGTGCTGTCTCTCTCTCAAATAAATAAAAATTTAAAAACAACCCCACAAAAATGTGAACCACACGCACATGCGCGCCCCCCCCCCCCATTCACTATGTAACTTGAAATTCTCTAAGTGCCAGGGTCTCACAGGTTCTCCACCGAAGGTACACTCACGGGCAGGGCAGTCTGGGACAGGGCAGCAGGAAGAGATGCCCTGGGCCTCATCTCATTTTAAAATTTCCTTTCCCTGGGGCGCCTGGGTGGCTCAGTCGTTAAGCGTCTGCCTTCGGCTCAGGTCATGATCCCAGGGTCCTGGGATCCAGCCCCACATCGGGCTCTCTGCTCAGTGGGAAGCCTGCTTCTCCCTCTCCCACTCCCCCTGCTTGTGTTCCCTCTCTCTCTCTGTCAAATGAATAAATAAAATCTTAAAAAAAAAAAATTTCCTTTCCCTGATGATTCTTATTCTTCCACAACTCAAAACAGCCTTTCTGTGATGTAATGGGCAAAGGAGGAAAAACAGGCTTCATTCGTTTGGCCAGTTTTGGAACAAGGCCAGTCCCTCCACCGACATACATGTGTCTGTGTGCATGCCGAACATTCTCAGAGGACAGACCTTGCCCAGACGCGTGTCCTAGGTCTGAGGTCTGAATCATTGGCCTGAAATGGAATATATCTGAACAAGATCAGAACCTAAATCCCAACGAAACAGCCATGGAGGCCTGTCAGGTGGGTGGGAATCTAGACTGAGAAAGTGGGCTTCTGCTTCCATTTTCCATCCAGGGTCTGAGGGAGGAGCCCCCCAGCCCTCTGCTCTGCTACTTACTGAGGCCTAATGTGGGATCACTGAGACCATCCAAGTGACACACAGCGAGAGAAGCAGGTCCCAGCTAGGAAGCGGAGAGCAAGGGGCTGGACACGGGCAGGGCTGCATGGCTACACAGGCCAATAAGCCACAGCCTCCCCGCCGGCAGGAAGAGCCAACCGTCCGTCTGTCCATCTGTCTGGGTCCAGGCTGTGGGGAAAGCAAACGTGCTCCACCTTCACCACCTCTCAGCGCCTCTCTCAGATGCAGCAATAGCTCATACCAGCTTCCGTTTCATGGGCATGTACTATGTGCCAGGCACATCTCATTCACGACAGCCATTAAATTATAAAATTATTTTTTTAAAAAAGATCTTATTTGTCAGAGAGAGAGAGAGAGAGAGAGAGCACAAGCAGAGGGAGAGGGAGAAGCAGGCTCCCTGTTGCGCAAGGAGCCTGACACGGGACTCGATGTCAGGACCCTAGGACCATGACCTGAGCTGAAGGCAGACGCTCAACCGACTGAGCCACTGAGCCATCCAGGCACCCTAAGATTTTAAAATTCTTATCCCTGTTTTACAAAAAGGGAACTAACACTTAAAGCGAGGATGTGTGGCTCAGCCTCTGCAATCAGGGGCTGTTTCTCTCTTTTGTCAGCTGAAATAAGCCCGACCTGACCAGGCTAGCTCCAGGGTCCTGGGGGGACAGAGTCCACAGTTTAAGGGAGAAGGAGCATAACAGAGAACTCTGTTCCTGATGGAGCTCGTGCCAAGCTACATGCCCCACCCTGAGCCCCTTTAGAACAAGCCAACCCCTGTAGCTTCTCCTTGGCCAGGGAGCCCTGCCCCTTGGTGTACGGGGTCAGGGACAGACCCTGTGATCCCACAGCGGGTGCTGAAGGGCTGGGTATAGGGAAAGGGGTCCAGCTGCATGCACTGGAAGTCCCAGTAAGGGAAGCCAGGATATCAGACCACGTGGGCACTTCTGCTCAGGAAGGCAGACTGAGGGAAAGCATGCCATCAGAACTCTGTGGCCCAGTGGGGGGCATGACCCTCAGAGGGCCTCCTGGTTGCTTCTCCAAGCCACAGAGTTTGGAGGCTGCCGCATCCCAGAAAAGGTCCTAGGAGATGGCTTGTTGATCCCCTGGAAGCTGGGACTAATGAGCAATTGGAAGCTGGCACCAAGGGAAGGGATAACCTCAATGCCCTTTGCATCAGAAGTCCCCAAAGAGGGGTGGGGAAGAGAGGATTGCAGGGTGGATCACAGACATTCCTAGGTGGGTATAGCTCTTCGTGTTATAACTGGCAGCCCCAATCCCCTCCTCCACCCTGGACCTGAGCAGATCAGGATACCTAGACGGTGATCACTTGTTAATGGAAGATTCTGGAAATAAGCCAGATGGCTCTGCTGGGTTCTGGGAGGAGTTCTGGGTTCCCTGGAGGTGGTGGCCTTGATCCGGGAGGACAGGGAAGCAAGGCTTTCTCGTGGTGGGCCAAGACCTGACAGCGGGATACACTACAGCCTTGACAATTCAGGTGCTGGGGCTGGTGTGGATTTGGTCTTGACTGTATGGGGCAGGAAGTCCCGCTCTGGGAGGTGGCCCAGGGGTTGGGAGACGAGTTGGTTCCCATGCAGGTGTGACTGAGGACCCATTCCCATGGCTCTAAGATCACTCCTGTTTTCAGAAGCAAATTTTCTGCCACCGAAGCGAGCTGCTAGGTACCAGGCTTGTTGTTAACGGGGAGATTGCAGCAGTGTGTGGCCCCTTTTTCTCTCATTCTTGTCCTCCTCCTGTCAACCTGACTTCCAGGCTCTCAGAACCCTGCTGCTTCAGTATTAGTGGGAGATGGGATTGTCGCTTAGGAAACCGAGGCTCCCTATAAGGAGCATCATCTGTATGCAGCAGGCTTCAATCTTGGGACTTTATTTAAGGGCATCAGAGTGGTGTCTGGCCACTGCTGGTGTTCATCAGGCTACTGGATTTTGTGGTTGAGCACAAACAAGGGGGCATAGGGGCCATGCAGCCAAAGAGAACTTGGCAGAGTCTGGGGCTCTAGCCTTCCGGTGACACCATTGTCCCAACCTGCCAGGATGAGTCCCACACCCCAGAGATCTGGCTTTCCTGAGCTTTCTGCTAGGGAGAGAGGGGGAAACAGTGTGTGTGTGTCTGTGTGTGTGTGTGTGTGTGTGTGAGATTAATGGGGATGGTGGGGAGTGGAGAAGGAAGAGAGGTGGTACATTTTTTTTTCTAGCAGTAAATCCTGCCCAATAACCCCCAAACCAAGGAGCCACACAGAGTTAGCTGGATTAGAGTGGGTTCAAGTCATTTATTTTTAGACTGTACCAGCATGTTTGGTTCTGGGGTCCCAATCCCCAAATTCCAGAAAAATAAACTAATGAGAACCACATGCACTATGAGAAGGCCATTCCGACGTGTCTGTGTTCATGCTGTGAGTGAGCATAGTATATAGACCAGGAGCCCTCCCTGGGCAGGTGACAGCAGCTGGCTCTGAGCCCTCCTTGGGACTGGGGAGAGGGCCAAGACTGGATCATTTGGACCCCGTCCCTTTAAGGCCCAAGCCCCTTATTGCTACATTTGCTACTTTGCTACTTGATGGCCCCTGGGTCGTGCCCAGGGGAGGCCTTATCACTGGGTGGTACTAATGAGGAGGCTGCTGGCATTTGTCCTTGCCATCATGACCATAGCACAGAACTCTTTTCAGAGGGTCCCGGGGTGCGTTATGGGGGATTCATTTGATCACTACTCAACTATGCCACAGAGGGTCCTTGCTACATACTCAGCTTGACCAGCCCTGCTGGAGGCCCGTGGCCCATTATCTCCCCCCGACCCCAGAGCTTTCCAGCTCCTGGACCTTGCTGGAACACCTCCCTCCGACATATTCTGCAAGGTCCGAAGACCAACAGCCTGCTATCCTTTCCAGCGTGGGGCAAGGCTTCTTAGTGGTGGCTTCTGAAGCCCATGCATTCGGAGCACAATGGGAAGGGTGCGTTTTAGGAGGAACATCAACTTCCACCAATAGCCAAAAGGCCGGCTGGGTGGCAGCCTCCTGGTTCAGTGTCCTGTTGGTGAGGTAGTTTGAACACACCAGCAATCCTGCCAGGAGAAGCACGCCTGGAGCACGTCCCCACACGTCCGCTGGTCTCAGCAACAACTCAGAGTGGTGAGCGGGACCCTGGGGGATTGGCCTGGACCTGACCCCTCGGCCTCGGTGGGCCAGGGGCACCGCTCACCTGACTGCCCTGGGGGACAGCCACACCTGACAGTAGAACAAAGCATCACTTTCTGGAAGGGAAGGAGCCCTCTCCCCAGCGGAATTGTTCCTGCTGCTTGGGCTGAGCCCTCTGGCTGTTGCCGAGCGCCTGCACTTGCCAGCCTCCAAGTTTTCTTCTTCCCATGAGGCAAAGGTGATCCCAGTCCGATGTCCGGTGCCTGGCACCCGTGCATCTGACTTGCTGGCGGGGTGGTTGCTTCTGTGGCTGCCCTGAAGCTTTGGCTGTGGGGCTGCCAGCATGATCTGTGTCCTGGGAGCTCTCAACGGGAAGAGTCCCAGATCCAGAGACTGTGCCCGGTCAGGGGAGCTAAGGAAGCTTCCGGAAGCAGGGGGACCTGCTTTGCTATGGAACTGCCTTCGAAAGTCTAATCCGGTTTGAAGTTTTGGCTGTGTAGACCAGGCCAACGGGGAACTGGCCCAGATCATATTTTCCAAGTGTGCTTGCATTCTAAGGTCTGCACAGTAGACTGACCTTGGACTGGCCAACTGGGCAGAGCAACCCCACCCCCCACCCCCTGCGTTGCTTGGCTTAATCTACCGGGGAGGATGTGGTGGTCACAAGACCGAGCATGCCTGCTTGGGAGATGGGGTGACGGGGTTTATTGCTCTGGGTCTGAATGCAACCAGAGCACCCTTACCTCTACTGAGCCTGCTGGCCCGCCCTTCCCTCTGGATGTCCCCAGGGGTGTTTGGAAACCTTCAGCCTGCACCATCTCAGGGGTACAGTCCACTTGGCTCTGAGTGGGCCTTCTGAGGACCTCCAGGGCTGGCCACGTGTCAGCCAGTATCGCTCGGGAGCAGAGGCCAGGAGGACTGGGTAAGCCAGCCCTGCCCTGTCCACAGCCCATGGGGAAGGGCAGGAGGCAGCCAGGCCTTTGCCCTGGGTAGCTGAGGGCACCAAGGCACCTACTCTTCTAGAACTTCCTCTGTCCACATACCCTGTGCCTCAATGTCAACACAGCTTGTGGACCCTTGACAGAGAGGAGCTTCTTTGGGGCGATGTTGGTTGCAGAAAAGCTTGGGCTGCATTTTGGTTCTGAGAAAGGAGCCCTGTGTGAAAAAGCAAGGAGATAAAAACGGGTGGGACAAGGAGAGGAGTCCAAAGACCCCATAACATGGAATAGGGCTTCCTCTCATTCACTTACTCATCAAGTAGTTACCGAGTATCTACAAGGGCCAGGACCCATGCTGAGGTTGTGTGGAACCAGGGTGTGGGAGTGCCTGATGGGAATCTGGGTCTATATTGCCACCACTGGAGACAACCTGAGGACCCAACACATGTCATCTACTAGCTACTGTACCTGGTAGAGAGAGCAGCTACTGCCAGTGGGGGAAACTGAGGCATAGTGGTCAAGAACCCACAAGGGTGCCACCCTAGCCAAGTCTCCTAATGCCCACAGTGGCCCTGCTGTGAAGGATGGAAGGCTGGTGCCGTGGGGACAGGGCCCCGTGGAATCAGACATACAATGGCATAGACATGGGGCTGCAAGGATGGTCACGGAAGCACCCAGGAGGCAGGGTCTGCAAACAAGCTTATGAGCCTTTGGTCACCAGCTGGTGAATTTGCCTACATGAGTAAAGAAATACCAGTGATCACTTTTTTTTTTTTTTTTTTTTTGCTTCTATGTTTGCTGTTTATACACTCCCCAGGGAAAATTTTCACCTATGGCCAAAAATAGATCGAAGGAGGCTAGTTCTAGCAGGTGGAGTGAGTGTCCGAATTCAAAAACATGTTGCTTAATACCACTCTGTCTGAGGGCTCACGGGCGTCACAATGGTGACAGTGACAATGAGGAGAGTAATAGCTACCATTTGCTGAGCACCTACTACGCGCCAGGCACCTGATTCAGTGCTTTACATATATTACCTCCCGGCCGATTGGCAGATAGTCATTTTGACATACACACGAAGGGAGCACAAGTGGGTTTTTTGCAGGTTTTTGCAGGTTTTGCTTTGTGTCTGCTTTTTCCCTTGGGGACCACCTCTGTTTCGCGGTGCCTTTGTTGGGCTGTCCGAGAAGCATCTGGCTCTGGCCTAGGCCCTCTGTTGCAGCTTCAGCCGCAACTCCAGACACAACTGAGACCTGGCCCAGCCAGGGGCCCGTCAGGATGCCACAGGGTGGGCCCCAGCTGCCAGCTGGACGACCCAGCCACCTCCCCCCACCCCGGGGCCCGGAACTCTCCCAGCTTCCACCGGGGCTGCCGGAGGGGAGGATCCCAGGGGCCCCTGAGTTCATGGCCATGTTTATTTTGAGTAAAACACGAGGGAACAAGCCAAGGAGAAGGGGGCAGAAACAGAATGAGTTAGGAAGTAATAAATGTTTTAAAAGATGGTCAGAACCTCCACGGCTGTCAAGCTACAAGCTCTTTCAGGGGCGCCGGTGCTTCCTCTGGTGTGGGACCCTTGAGGCATGTGACAGGACCAGAGGGCAGCCCCGCGCCCGTGGGGACCTCTTGGAAAGCCGGCCTCCGGGGGGGGGGGGCTGGCAGAACTGAGGCAATCCGCGCGGTTGCTCAGCACGGTCGCCACGACGCGGACGTGTGGCGCGGGGGGCCTTACACAGACTCGGGGCGAGGCAGGGGGCCGTCGGGACACAGTGGCCGTCACTACGGGGGGTGGTGGTGGCGGTGGGTGCCCCAGAGCCGGAGGGGGGGGGCGGGGCGTAACACTGGATGTGCTCGGGGCCAGCCGGTCCCTCTCGCGTGTGCCGGGAGGCGTGATCCCCCAGACAGAGGGAAGAGTGGCGGGACCAAGATTAGAATCTCAAGTGATAGTCACGACAGGAGCCCCACGAGGTGGTGTGCCCCGAGCGAGTTAGGGCCCGGGACCTCCTCGAGAACGGGCTGTCGGCGCACAACTGTACAAGGAAGAGAGGGCTGTAAACAGGGCCGACGCCGGGCTCTGTGGACTTGTTCTCTCTGGTGTCCCCGGTCACCCACCGGGGCTCCCCTCTGCTGCCCGTCCTCGCCCTCACTCCTTCTCTTTCACAGTGACCAGGTCTCCCCGCAGGGAGACTCTGTCCGCGGAGGTGGAGCGCCGCCGCCTGCCCGTGGGGTCGTCGGGCCCGGGCCCTGCGGTGGGAACCGTCAGGAGGACTGCATCAGGCCGGTGAGGCGCTTGCCCGCCAGCGACTTTCCCTGCAGAGACAGGCGACAGAGTTGGCACGCACAGGCGCGCACGCCCACGCACGCCGCGCGCGCGCACGCACACCATGCACACGCACGCGCGCGCGCGCGCACGCACACACACACGGACAGAGACCGAGACAGAGAGCCAGACAGGCGAATTAATTGCTGCACGAGCCCCGAAGGCCAAACGACTTAGCTCACGGACCCTGCTGATCTCTGGGTTCGGGCCCTTGACTGCAGACAGTTGGAACAACCAGGGCTCTGGGGCACGGGGTGGGGAGTGAACGTGTGTTGCTGGTCTTTTTTGGGGGTGTGGGAATTTTACTTACCCCAAAACGAGGCATTTTCACTTTTAGGTAGAGTATCTCTTAATGCTTGTGGGCTGCCCCTGAACTTGATTTCGTTCAAGCCAGGAAGGAAAAGGTGGACTGAGGAGTAGTAAGATCAGGGAGAGTGGGTTGACCCACACAGGTGATGGTTAAGGATTTGGGTGACTAGAAGCTAATGAATGAACTAGTCTTAAGAATGCAGGAGATGTGGGAATGCAGAAGAGTGCAGAAGACCTAGGATCCTGTCTGAAAGGCAGGATTGAGCCCTCCCCGGGAGAGACACACAGGCTTGGCGACCTCTTGATGACAAGTTCTGGGACTGTGGAAATATAGGGGCCTGTGCCAAGGCTGGGAGCCTGGGCTGGCGAACAGGTACCACCACAGGCCCCAGGGCAACACGCTCCTGCCGTGTCCTGTGTTCCTGGCTCCCTGTGTGTGGTACCCAGGGGCTGAGTTTGATGACTCCACATCGGGACATCTACAAGCCCTTCACTTGCCATGTAGCAGTTCTTGAAAATGAAAAAACTTAACTGGACCGTGAGGCCTGGTGCATGAGGCACTGAGATCTTGAGAGAGGCCAGCGACTCCTGTGCCTGGGAGGAGGTGGCCGAGGAGCCTCTGATGTGGGATTGGGTACCATGAGGATGGATGAGGAGGATGACTGAGTCTCCGTCGTTCTGCTTATTTCCCTTGACGCAGCCCGTGCCCATTCCCTGCTCACCCTCTGAAGAAATCCAGAACATCGGACAGGGGTCTAGAGGAGATTGTGGCTGGACCTGAGCAGACTGATCACTGTGTCTGAGAAAATACTCAAAACCCATGCTATTATTGACAGCCGGTCAGCTAAACCATCGCCATCTGCAAAGGGGAGCACGTGGTCCTCATCAGCATGGGCTGTGGTGTTTGGTAGTGAGGGACTGCAAGGGCCAGCGGCCCCTCATGTTCATTTCCAAGTGGGGTGTGAGGGCTCATCTTGTTTACTGGGCTTGGCTGAGTGCAAGCTGGATGTAATTAAAAAAAATTGATCAGGTTTGTGAAGCCTGGTAGAGTACTCAATAAACCGGCTGATTGATGAATTGATGGATAATGGGTATATCTAGTAAATGAACAAGGGCTGTGAGTTTGCTGGATGCAAGACAATGTGTCATCTGGCTTAACTCTCCATAGAGGGATGTGCCAGCTTGACTTTGAGAATTCCAGTGGCATACACGGGAGCTTGTCCAGAAATGGAACTGCCCTCGGGAGCTTTGGAAAGTCTGCATCGACATCCCCTTGCTCTTTTTCCCCTTTTATTTCACCCCTCATTTTCACTAGTGAGACAAAACTTCATTTTTTTCTCCCCTATTTTAAACACACATGCATGCACACACACACACACAATCTCCCCAATAGCAACCTTATCTGGATCTTCAAATACACTAAACTTAGCCTGCAGCAGTCTACATTTATACAAGGGTAAGGATTTTTTAATCAGAATTTTTTAATCCTAGAGGGTTCCAGTGCCAGTCTTTGCAAATCACTAAAAGCAGGGTGGCTATTCCCCTGTGTAGAGTGGGTTAGGTGGGACAAGAGCTCACAGCTGGCAGAGGCTGCCCTTCAAGGACTTGCTCCAGCCCTGGATTCTAAGGCACACACATGGCTGGTGCTCTCCTTGACTGCCCTTTCTTAGATGGAGCTCGAGGCATTTGTCATCTTGTTGGTTCACCTGGGACTGTGCCTTCTTGATGCAAGCCTGAAGGCAGCAAGTGTGGGGACGTGTGTGGGGTCCTCTCGGGGGAAATGTGGAGCTGATGAGTCTAGGGGCCTCCTGGTCTGAGCGTTCTAACAAACCTCCCCCAGCCCCTTCACCCATGTCCATCCCTGCTGATGTGAAAGGCACTGCGGGATTTTGCTTGCCTCCCGGTGCCCCTTATTGCTGCAGGAACCACACCCCAAATACTGGCTCCTCCCCTTCTCCTTCTGTCCCTTTTCCACCAGGGCAACAAATCACATTTGTGTCACCAAATATATATGTTTTGGCTTTGCCATACATGGTATTCGGGCTCGGATTGAGCTGGCGGATGTGGGAAAAAAAAAATCAGTAAAGCTCCTGAATAACAGTCTATTGCTAGCGTGTATGTTAAGAGCCCAGAAACAAAGAAGGTGAGGTTTACCAGGCATCCAAACCCTCATTATGGCTTCTTCCTCATTAGTGAGGTCATTTTGGCTGGAGAGGGGGCTGTAGGTTGAAGATTCTATATCTGGATTATTATGGGACTGTTTGAGGTGCCTTTGGCCCCGAGGTCCTCCACCCTCCACCCTTCCCTGTTCTGTAGAAGGGGCTGGGCTGGGCTTGGAGGCACTAATTAATCTCTTCCTGCTTGAGTCCTGGAGCTCAGCCTCACAGCTCTGACTCCAAGGCCCTGTGGCCGGCCGTCAAAGCCTGCCCCTCCCCTTGCCCCCAGCTGCTTCCATTTCTCAAGACTTCAGAGGCCAGCCTAGAGAACTTGCCCTGAGATTGTTCCCAGCCTCTCAGCAATCCAGGTGGTGTTCCTTGGCATTTTTGTCTCCCTCCCCCCACCCCTGCACACACACACATTTTTCAAATGCCAGTTCTGCTGCTAAAGGAGGTCGTGAGGTTTCAGGTCCGCTCAGGGGGCAGCTCAGTCCAACTGCAATCTGTCCGCTACTCAGTGACCTCCTGGGTGGGGCTGGAAGGTGGTTATTCATGCAGGACGCAGGCATGGCTAGATGCCTGGCCTCGGGCTTTGGGGAAGAAAGCCTGCAATCACACTGGCTCAGCAGCTGCCTCTCTTCTGAAGAGCTGAGGCTCCTGTAATTTTCAGGGATCAAAGTGAAATCTGACAGCAGAGGCTACCTGTGTTCAGAGATGAGCTGCCCCCAGGTCTATGCTGCTAGGGGCTTGCTGGGAGCCCCTGAGCTACCTGCTCTGTCCAGAGAGAAGAGAGCTCCTGCCCTGCACGCTCTCAGGCTCTTTTCCTCCCTCTTCTTCACCCCCTTCCCTGCCTCAATCGGACGATCCTGTAGGAAACACTTAGGAAGGGGAGTGTGGTAATTCTATTTCCACCCGGCATCTTGCATAGTGACGGGGGAAGCCATTTTTTCAGGGTGTGAATGTGTGATGTTCCCCAGTGTAGGTCAGTTGGGAATGGATCATGGTGCCAGGAAGGGCAGCCAGCTCAGCCCGAGGCCTTGTCGTAGCTGAGCGTAGCAGCTGAAGGTGGTTGAAAATGCTATTAGCAGGCAGCCTTTGTCCAAGTGAAAAAATACACAGTGATTAAGAACTGAACTGCAGAAGGTACATTCCAGAGACACCAAAGCTTTGCATACAGACAAAGTGCTTTTCACCTTTGAGACATTTGGCAAAATTAACCCAAGAGGATCAGGATCCTTCAGTTTCATGGACTGGGTTCACAAACGTCCACCCTCCACCCTGACTAATCATTTCAGCTCTGTGGCCATCTTGATGGCTAGAAGCCTGGAAGAAGGTGGTCATGGAATCCTTCATTTCTAAAAGGAAATGCACAAAAGGAATGTCTCCCTTTCGTGCCGTGCTTTAAGAAAAATCAACATGCTGCTTGACATGCTGTGGCTCTGTGCATTGCACTTCCAGATATTAATCAACAAAGCATGCACGATCCATGTTACCAAGAGCTTTTGCCACTTACTTACCTGGGACACTGATGCTACACTCTTTGGCTGGGAGGAGGGCTGTGGCTCAGAGAGTAACCCTGGGGGTTAGGTGGCATATTGGGGACAGCAGAGCCAAGCACTAGGGACTCAGGCAGGACCCTTCTCAATGCTAAGGGAGTAAAGACATCTGAGCTGCTGATGAGACTCTCAAGCTGACTTGCCCAGATGACCAAAGACCAAAGTTATAGATCTCAGGTCCACCCAATCTAAATCCATGTTACTATGGGGCTAGGAATCAACTGTAGTTGCCTCTGGAGGAGAAAGATTGAATTGATTGGAAAGCGGCATGAGGGAACTTTCCAGGATCATGGGGTGTAGGTGACAGTGGTGCATAGATTTGTTAAATTCACTGAACCACACACTTCAGATCTGTTCATTTTGCTATCTGTAATTACCCTCAAAAGAAAATAAATATTGGGAAACAAAATCCAGCTATCACATCTCTGCTTTGAAATTTCCCACTCCTTATTCTTTTTCAGTTGCAGGTCCCGTGACTTTGCCTTTTGGCTCAATCCGGGGCTTCCTACTCCAGTGTAGGAGAAACCCGGTTCCTCTGTGAGAAGAACTGGAACTTGCAACAGGACCAATCTGGAACATTGTGTCTAGTGCCTTGATCCAAACTGATCACCTTGTTGTGATACAGGCATTTTTCATCCTTGCTAATGAAAATAGGGTTTTGCTGAATGGGCCTCACCAAATGACCTCAGTAGGCAGGAAATGGGAGGCTCCAGAGATGAGCTGTTCTCTCAAGGAGACTGAAGGTTACCCATGAGTAAATATGATGCTCGGGTTCATAAATGATGAGTGAGCATGTGATAGCAGGCCTGGGGGGGCCTTGCTGAGGGAAGCAGTCAGGAGCCTGAGAGCCAGGTAGGGAGGTAAGGGTTCTGGCTTGGGTTTGGCAGAAGGGGAGAAGTCAAGAACTTGCCTGAGTTCATCGGGTGACTTCCCTGGAGGTTGGTGCCCCCTGGCGCCCCTTCTCCACTGAGCAAAACAAAAGGAATGATTTCAAAAGGGTGTATAAGGAATTCTGTGACATATCCTTTCTTGATGGTGTTTCAAGCTGGGGAGAAAGAGCCACTTGCTAGGGGTAGTGTAGGGGTTTTCGAAGTTGGCAGAGGACTGGGAGGAAAATCCATACTTAATACAGAAGAGTTTCAAAAAACTTCTCAACTCTCCATCTCTCATCAACTCGCCCTCTTTTGAACTTCATGGCAAGGTGGGGCAAGATGAAAGGGGGAAACCTGGTCTTGGGACTAGCCAAAGATCACACACTGCTAATCCACAGCAGGGCTAGGCCAGAGCCGCACGGGGGGACGAGGATGCTTCTGCCTTCCTCAGTCCTCACTCAGTAGTAGGGGGCTGGAGCCTGTGACAAGATCCATTCCTGGGGTCTGTATTACTCCTGGCTCCTTGCAAAGCTTTCTGATCTCTCTCAGGAGCTGAAGGGCATTTTATTTGGCTTTAAAATATTCTATTTGACTTTTAAAAATAAGATACCACAAACATAAAACAACGCTCAAATAAAAAAAATCAAGAAATAGGTGAAACTTGAATTAATAAAAAAAAGTTCACTGGCTGAAGAATTAATATTCATTCTTGTATATTTAAACCTGTTAAAAAGTAAGGAATATGATCATAATAAAAATAACGGATTCTTTTGAAACAGGTCACTATCTTACAGTGGTATAAACAACCGGATTTTGCCATGTAAATTGTGGGTCTATGGAATCTACCTGTAAGTCATATCTTCTGAAAGCAATTCCCATAAATGGTTACTGGGACTGTTAGCAGTTTCAGAAACCTTACTCTAGCCTATATTGGCAGCTACCAGTGCTTTTTTTTCCTTAAAAAAAATTTTTTTTTTAAAAATTTAATTTAGAAAAGGTAAGTCGCCAGCGCTCCTAACTGTCCTAAATGTGAAAGAACCAACCTATCCCATGATCTATCTCCTAGGGACTTTCTCTTTGAATTTCTCACCCCTGCTCAATGGGCTGGCATCAATATCCCAGGTACACTCCCTTCTCAAGGGCCTTCCTCTTCAATTAGCACAGACCTTGATGGTGAGTGGGTGGGGATGGGCCCGTTACCGGGGGTACGGGTTAGCTACCGAGGACTGTAACTAACAGCCACCTGTCGACTGAACATCGAACCACTCTTGTGTGTCAAACACACCAGGCATTGTACAGACACTCGTGTTAATGTCCACACCCTCCTTGCCAGTTTAAAGCCTTAGGACATCTTAGGTTAAAGTCTTAGGATATATTGTGTCAGGATCGATGAAGAAACAGGCTCATATAGCGCTCGAGCCCCTTGCCTGAGAGCATACAGCTAGTCAGTGGCAGAGCGAAGCGGGTCAGCCTTCATGAGCCACACGCTTTCTACTTTGTATGTGGCCATCCCTCTCAAGGAAGGAGGCAGATGGAAATGCTCAGAGACTAATGACTCCTCCTCACCCATCTCCACCAGGCAATCTCTTTGGGCAGCCCAGGGAGATCTTCTCAACCTTACTGAGAAAGAAGGTTCCACCCCTGGACATGCCTGAGACCATCTCAAGCATTTCTGCTCTGCCTGAGGTTCTTCCCCTCTTCACATTTGGTTCTCCTGAGAGAGAAGGCGCCACCTTCTGGCTGGCAAGCCTGGCCAAGTGAGACTGGCTACTGCACCGAGCCAGGGCACCCGTCACCGCTGCTTGGGGCATGTGGCTTTAAGGTGCACCTGCTGGATGGGCCAGGTGAAGCTACCACTTCTGTTTGTGCCCTCATGTTATTGGTGCTGCTGCCCCTGGGGTCGCCATAGCAACTGTCCCAGGGAGGAGAGGAGCAGGGGTACTGTTTACCTTTCTCGGGAGGGGCAGGCGGAGCTGCCTTACTCTAATTAGAAACCAATTCCAATTAGAACCAAGTGCCTAAATCAGGGTGTCGCAGCCAGGCTGGGTGGGGGAGAAGCCCTCTGTGGGTGGTGTTCCTGGCCCCCAGACTCCTGCCCTCCATCGGGCTCATCACTTTTGGGGCTCTTTGCAGTGGCCAGCCTCTGCCAGCTAATTTCAGTGGGAGAGCTTCTTCCACTGTCCCCCAGCTAGGCAGGGACAAATCTGGAACCAGGCAGGCATGCAGGAGTGACAAGGGGGAGAGCAGCTGTGCCCTCTGCTGGGGGCACAATGCCCAGACACAGATTCCCCAGCTTCCTTCCCAAGCTGTACATTTCCACCTGTGTTCTTCCTGTGCAGGGGCCATGCCTCCCCCCTTTCATATCAGATCTCCATCTCTCCTTCCTCTGGTTCTGACTGCACAACCCTGGTGCTCTCTGTGTACTCAGCTTCCAGGGAAGCTCTTGGTGGATTCAGGAGTGGAGTGGAGAGGGGGGCATTTCGCCTGCGAGGCCCCTCAGAGGTGTGCCTTCCTCTGCCCCTGTTCCTCCATCTCCTCCCCAGAAGTACTCTAGGATCTTAGCTCTGGTTCACTCCAAATTAGGCAAAGGTCAAAAGACTCGAGGAAACGGGGACATGGCTGTGTTGCTACTAGCAACATCGTGATGCTTTTTTCCAAGTAGGACGTTCAAGTGACCCTTGTCCATGGCTCCAGGGGAGAGTGTCACTGAAGTTTAGTGGAAGAGACAGCAGGAGGAATCATTTGCTTGGGAGTGTGTGACTCTCCTGCAGAACCACGGGGACTCTACCTCTGCCTCCCAAGGGCACCTCTCATCTCCTACACACGTGTTCACCCAAAACTCATCCATAGGTTGGGGTCCGTGGTTAAGGCAGCTGCCAGAGCAGAGCCTAGAAGGCACAGGCAATCAACATGAGGACTATCCCCCACCGCCCCAAAGCATAATCTTTCCATGAATGTCCATGTCCGTTCGGACACAAATGCAAAGGAGGCCGGCTTATTTCTCTTTCTTCCCTACCACCAGGAATGCGCTGCAGCAGGCATTTATCACACATGTATTTCTAACCTGAAAAAGTGCTTCAGGGGATGGGTCAAGCAGCATTTTCAGAGATCTCTCGATAGAAACTTGGGTCAAGGGGTCTTCCCTACAGACCCTTTTTACATGTTGCTGTAATGCTTTTGGTGCCCGTGGGACAGAGGATAGGTACTCGCCCAGCCTTCTTCTCCCCTGATGGTCAAGGACGTAGAAATGTAAGATTTCCAAGTTTCCTGCAGGATTTGGCCCTGAGTCACAGGGGAAGGGTTATGGAAGCTGTAAGCCTAAGGATGCTGCTGTTGGATTTAAAAGCATCGTCAAAGGTAGTGAGCATTTCTGTCCTGTTCTGCTAGGGGCTCGGGAGAAGCGATCCGTACCTAAAGACCTTATTTGCACATTGCCTCTGGGACAAGGGACTTACATCTTAGCATCATTTCTGGACCCCTGGCTCCTTGCCTCTTAGGAAGAAAAAACTTATGGGTGCAAAAAAAAAGAAAAAGAAAAAAAAGGGGCAGAAAAATGGGGACACCAAAAACTAGATGCTGCTGACTGTTCCTGGAACAAGGGTGCGGGAACGAGAGTGATAGGCAGAGACAAGGCCACGGACAAACAGATCATCTCTTCCGGATTTTGGAGCACCTTCTGTGCAGAAGGATCCCAAAAAAGGTTAGAGAGTGCGGACGCCGGGATCACTCACCCACTGCTGGAAGGAAGCCACCTCGGGGGTGAAAGGCAGCGGCCATTCTGACTCTGCGCCAGCAGCACTAGGCAATTGTGTTTTTAGGAAGGGAAGTGAAGAATAACTTATCCAGCTGAAACCAAGAATACCTGCAGCTTTCGGGGGGGCCCCTGCCCAGACATGCGCACAGCCGCAGCGGGCATGCAAAGCGTGCGCAGAGGCCCATGCAAGTCCGCAGCGTAGGGGACTCGCGTCCCATACCCTGAACACAGAGGCCCAGGCCGGGCAGGCGGCGCATGCGCCCGTGCGGACCTCCGTGCGCACGTTCGTGTGCGTGTTTCCAGCACAGGCAGCCGCAGAAGCATCTCGAGCAAGCCGCAGAGGCATCTCATGCAAGCCGCCGAAGCAGCCATGGGGTTGGCTGCAGAGCTTTCTATCAGGCTCCTAAAATGCCAATCTTTGACAAGCACTGCAAACTTAACGCATTTACTTTAAGATCCATCTATAAAACCTGAATTCTCCCCCCCCAGAAGAAGCCATTCGTGTCAGTGGAAATGGCCTCCCCGCTTCGGTTTCTGTCAATACCACAAGCAGGAGAAGCATGTACCCCAGGGATCTGGTTTAGGAGAGATTTCAAAGCATCCCCAGCCACTCGCTTCGGACTCCTCGAACAACCCCACTGTGTAGTGTGTGGCTAAAAAAATACAAGCCTTTGTTGATCTGGCAGATGGAGAACCAGACTCAGGGAGGCTGTATTGCTCAGGGTGGCCACAGACACTTGAGAGGTGAGGGTTTCTGGGAATGAGGCTTCTGCTGAGCAGAGCGCTACATCTGGAGGACTGCACTGCACACGCTTGTCATGGGGAGAACCACTCCTGATCTGCGTCTGGAAGCAGGAGGTGTCTCAGGGTTGTGCACCTCGGTGGCGGTGAGGGGGAGGCGGCAAATGCCAGATTCTGACAATGTATGCAACATTTTCTAGGTGGCTCTCCCCACTCCCAGCACCACACAGCTCTCATGGCCTCCTGGGAAGTGCTTAGGGGCCTCCAAGAAACTGACCACAGGGCAGAAGCTGGCCTGCCAGTCACCTTGGTCCCTCCACTCCCAGGGAAAGCAGAGAAACTGGCTCTGGACTTTAAAAATAAGCCAATAATAACAGCTACCATCTATCAAGTCGTTCTACGAGCTGGTCACTGTGATAATTGGATGTGCCTTGCACACATTGTCATATATGAGATACGCATGTAGCCATCCTCGACTGCAAAATAAATATAACGATACTTACCTCAGAGAATATTCTTGGAAATTAAGTAAGGTAATACGAGCTAAGCATGGGGGGCAAACAATGTAATAATGCAAATAGTAATACAAAGAGTTCCACTTGAGCACATAGACTACAAACACTCTGCTAAGCATTTTTTTCCCTACTTAATCTTTTACTCTTATCTCCCCTTTACAGATGAGGAAACTGAGGCTTAGAGAAGCTGTTAAGTGGTAGAGCTGAAGTTGAACCGAAGTCCCTTGCTTGCCAAGCTCAGCAGGTGCAGACACCCGCAGTAAAGCACTGTGAGCCCCCAAGAAATGGCAGTAACTACTATTATGCCCTCATTCGGTGCCAGCATCCACCCTGTGCAGAAGGCTGGGGCTGTGTTATATCCGTCAGCCAAGTGAGCGGCTCCCCTGGGGTCTTATGCCAATCTCAGGTGGACAGACAGGAGTTAGCCGGGGCTGTCCACCTCTAACCCAGTCTGCTTCTGCGCATTCCGGGGGGGCACCAAAGGGACATTGTTCTCAGGGCAAAGTGAGCAGGTGGTCTTTAGTAGGGGGTGAAAATGCAGTTGGAAATGTCACTGCCAAGTTTCAACAACATTTGGCTCTGGCTGGCTGGTGCTGCTCAGGCACAGCCCAGATGTGACTACCTGCTACGGCTGCGGTAAGGAGTGGTCTGGACAGCTCCGGGCAGTCAGCCACGAGGAGCTTCTCAGAGCAGGCGGGGGCAAGGTGCACCTCCCTGAGGTTATTCATGCAGTCCTGGGGAGGGTGGAGAGGAAGAGGACCCTGACAGGAAACCTGAGCAAAGCTGCCAAAGGGCAGGTTGGGGGTTCTGGTGACCACCACCCCACCTGCACTCTTTCCTGGTGATCCTTCCCATAACATCCTATAGATCTAGAAACAATTTAGGAAAAGCTATCGTTGAGAGCTAGCAAATGACGGGCTCTGGAGCTGTGTCATTACCAAGGAGACCGCCATCAAGTATAGGATCGCAGTGTTGCGATCACTCACAAATGCTAATGTTTGACTCCTTTACATATTTAGAAAAATGGATGCCCTAGAACCTTCCAGTATCATCCAAGACAGAAAATCCATCAGAATTTCCTCTCTACTTTTGCTGCAGATTACAAGGGTGGATTGAGTTTTGTATTGGCTGTTCCTATCTCTATGTTCCAACTTAATCTGTCCCGATGTAAAGGCCAGGCCCTCTATCCTTGCTTGATGGTCTGTCTTTTCCCATTTGGCATGGGGGTTCAGATGCACCCTGCTCTTGGGGCAAATGAGAAAGGCCAGGGGCGTGGCATGGGATGGTTCTCCAACCCTGTGAAAAAGTGTGGGTGCCTTCCAGATCCCCATACCTTTCCCTCCCCACCTCTTATATCCAGGCCCCAGTGGCCTGACAGTTTTAAAGGACTGTCTTTAGGGACATAGTACCAATCAACTCTAACTGGGTTTTCTTTAGCTTTAAAAAATGTCTTATTAAAACTTTGCTGACTTTATGGGGATCGCCATGTTTAATGAGAGGCCTCAAAGAATCTGAAAGCAAGAGATGAGGAGAGGAAAAAAGCCATAAGCTGTAATCACCATAATTATACAATCCCATGATGAGTAGAAAGCAGCCCTGGTAAAGCCTGAGAGAAGAGGGAGTGTCATTTGCAATCGTGCTGGTCTTCAGGACAGCTGGAAAGAATGTGACACGAGAGCCCTTCCTTCCCCTGAGTTGGGCTGAAGATAAGTCCTCAAGGCAGACCCCAGGAGGAGGGGGCGCCAGAAGGGCAGTTTGTCCCCAGTCTAAGGCCTCTGGAGCGTGTTCTGCTCCCGGCCACGTGGAGATGGTGCTGGAACAGCCTGCGCCCCTGAAATTGGCAACTGGCATTGGGCGAAAGGCAACTGGTTTTCTCATCTTTGCTTTCAAAAAAGTGCCCTTTCTGGATGGGAAGGAGGACAGGCCAAACTTTCTCCAACTCAGAGCCAGGGTCCCCCCTGCACGAGCCCACCCCGGCTGTGCTCAGCCCGACTGCACGACCGCTGCTCAGCTGCCCTGTGCCAGCAGGCGTCTGTGTCCTCTGCTCCCTGACCTCCCTTCAGGCCTTCAGGGGAGAGAGCCCTCTTGCCAGAGCTCAGCTGCAGCAGCAGCAATCGGCTTAAAACAAAACCAACACACAAAAAAAACACCCAACAAAACAAAAGGCAAGGATGACATGTGAAGGGCAGTAATTCCACTCCTTGACAGTTTCCCTTGCTTGGCTTGTGTCATCATCTGGCTTTTTCTCCCTCAAGGCAGAGGCTGATCTGACTCTTGGATCCCTCTCCTCCAATCTCAGCAAACTCCCTCCATATGATCCACTCTCTTTTTCTAAGACTTATTTATAAACCATAGACTAAAATGCAGTAGGATCCGTTTAACAAATATTTAATGCATCAGAGGATTCCAGCTAAAAGACAGGATAGAGGGGTGCCTGGGTGGCTCAGGTGGTTGAGCAGCCGACTCTTCATTTCGGCTCAGGTCGTGATCTCAGGGTCGTGAGATCGAGCCCCGCAGTGGGCTCCACGCTGGGCGTGGAGGCTGCTTAAGATTCTCTCTCTCCCGGGGTGCCTGGGTGGCTCAGTCGGTTAAGCGGCTGCCTTCGGCTCAGGTCATGATCCCAGGGTCCTGGAATCGAGCCCCGCATCGGGCTCCCTGCTCAGCGGGAAGCCTGCTTCTCCCTCTCCCTCTGTCTGCTGCTCTGCCTACTTGTGCTCTCTCTCTATCTCTGTTAAATAAATAAATAAAAATCTTAAAAAAAAAAGATTCTCTCTCTCCCTCTCTTTCTGCTCTTCCCCCACATTTCTCCCTCTCTCTCTAAAAGAAAAAAAAAAAAAGAGAGAGAGAGAGAGAATCCAATGCAGAAGGCTGCTCTATGATACCCTTGGCCATTCAGCTTCTGCACGTTTCCAGGGAGCTTGGTGATCCTCAAGGTGACATACCCCACTGTTGGAAAATTGCTACTGTTATTCTCCAGCAGGGTGGCCCTCCCTGTATCTTCTACCCAGTTCTTCTAGCTTTGTCTGAAACCACCCAGAAAGGTCCACTTACTGTGGGAGACAAACACAAATATATCTCATGACGGTTATCTCGTCTCCTGAGGGGCTAGACATCTCTATCCCACCCGACATGGCTTCCTTAGTTACTCTCTTCTGAATTTTCCCTAGATTGTTCAAGTTCCTGACAAATTGTGGGGGCTTAGAACCAAGACTCAACACAGTCTAGAACAACACGAAAGCAGTGAGACATTTTTCTCTTTTGGTCATTCCACTTTGGGTATTATAGCCTAAAGTAGCTTTTCTCTTTTTTAAGGCAATTGCATCTTGCTTTTGCTTATATGAAGCTTGTAGCCAACTACAACCCCAGAATTTTTTTTTTTTTACTTGAATTACAGCAAAGGCTATGAATGCCATCCTATAGTTATGAGGCTGAATTTTTTTAACATAAAATTTATCTTGTTAAATTTTATGTAGTTGTTTTTGACCCACCATCCCCACCTGAAGGAGATACTCTTCAAATAGAATTCCACTGTCTACCAAAGGAACAACACCTTGCAGGTGCTGATCTGTGAATATGACTGATGTGTTTTCTCTTCATCTGAGTCCTCAAAAAGGATGTCGATAGGACCGGGCCATGTGGCCTACCACCAGAAACTGCCTTTCCGGTTGACACAGATCTATGAATTCACCCTCTTACCAGTCATTAAGGTGCCATGAATACACTGGCTTTACCTAGTTCTGGGTGGGGGGGAGGGGCAGGAATTGCCATTGGTTTCGACCTTACTGCTC